CTGGCTTATCCTGCGGAAGTTCCGGTGAATTGTCTGAGTATCTATATTTTTACTTTTCTAGTTCTCTTAGAAAATGTAGCCGCGTATTCCAAATGTTTTAGGTTCGGAAGCATTAGTGAATGCCAATGGCGAAATAGTTGATATGACCCCTGAAGACACTTATGCGGCGATTGATATTTGCGACATTGAGTTCAATTTTCTTGACGAGAAGAACGTTGTATGCGGCCTTTGTGGGGAAGTTGTAGTTTATACTACACTCTTTACTGATCATCTTGCGAGAATTCATCCTGAGGTGAGTGTCTTTCCATTTGTCAATTGCTCTGCTTACCCAAGAAAGTGGTTCAGATGCTGGAGCCCGACATGATGATCGGTGACATGACATATGTCGACTACTTGAGATCGAAACTAGAGACTGATAGAAAAAACATACAGAATGGCTTCAAGTTTGTCTTTGTTTTCTGAATTTTCTTTGCACAAATACTTCTGAAATATTGACAGCATTGTAACAATCCGTTTTTGTTAAGGTTTGCGAAGCAGTCGATGTTTCGGAAAACACCGCGCAAAGTTAGTCAGATTCGTATCAATCCATCAGAGATGAATATGGCACAATTGGAGGTGGCACTGAGGAAGAAGCTGCTGGAAAAGATGGGGCGAAGGGTTCGTTTTCTTAATACCAATTCAATGTTCATTTCCACTTGCATTATTTGAATATTTGCTTCACCTTTTTGCCTGCCGTCGGGTTTCATTTTAGAATGTATCTTTTTGGCAAGAACCACTAACTCTGTGAACATCCGCGCTCAGATTCGCAGGCATTTTATTCTTTTTCCTTGTCTTCATGGCAAATCATACTTATACTATGAAGGTGTTCGTGCCTTTTTTGATGTAATTTGCAGTTAATACTCCGATTCCAACCAAGGCTATAACTCCGGTGAACAATCTTGCGTGACTATGAATGATGCTAATTGTTAAATTCTGATATTTTGTCTTGGTTTAATTAACAGCACTTGTGAGACGGAAATGTTTTTGATATCAAAATTTGTTGTATTTTCCTCCATTCGAAATACAGTTTATCATCTCTAACTTATCTGCTCTCGTTGTACATCAAAGGCAGTGTCCGCGCAAAAAGTTAATTCTGAGATTTTATGCTTACTCGGGCCTATTCGCTATGCTGAA